TCTCGACAAAGGTATTTGATGCTCAGAGTGGAACGGTTTGAGATTCGAATGTTTGGAGGGAAAACGGTTCCCAGCAGTTACCAAGTGCAACGTGCCAAGATCAGGAGCGTCGAATGCTGTGAGCATGCCAAGTGGAGTCATCTCGAAGCAGCGTAACTGCCCAACGGTTACTTGAGATGTGTTTAGTATAAATACTAGTTGTTCACGTAGTTTTCGCGTGTGTTCATCATTATATACAAGTCACTCATTTAGATTCAAGTACCCAGTGTGAGCGAAAGAATTGTTGAGAATGTATGTATGAAACACCATGTAAATTAATCAAAGTCTTTTATATTCCAGCACTTTATTGCCTTTTCATTTACCTTTCCCTGTCGAAGCCTTTATTTAACGCTTTCATTTATTCTACCGAGTTTTTCTTCATGCAAGTTACATAAAGTGTCTTTACTTTACTGGCATTAACCATCATTAGACTTAATCAAACCTCAAACAATCAACCATGTCTTAGGATCAATCTGATCGATCCTGCGAGTCACCAAATAAGTAACCTTTTGGAAGATCAGCGGTTGTTTACCAATTTCCACGGTAAACACCCATCAGGATTTAACTTTAGCTTATACACCCATTTAACTCCAATTGGAACTTTATTCTGAGGTAGAGTTACTAACTCCCAAGTCTTGTTCCTCTCAATTGCCTTAAGCTCATCAACCATTGCCAATCTCCACTTTGATTGCTTCAAGGCTTCATTGAGATCAAGTGGCTCAGAATCTTCCATAAGTGCATAATGGATTAGTTCACCCTCCTCATAAATGTCAGCATCACTTGCCATTTCAAATTCATTGAACCTGGCAGGTAGATTTCTTTGTCTTTGTCTTTGTCTTTGTCTTGCAGGTAGCTGCTCCTCACTTTCTCCATCAGTGACTTGTTCTTCAAGCATCTCTGGTGCAATGTGAACCTTGTTGAGACTAGTTTGTTTCAACCTCCAGTCCCAGTGCTCATCTTCTACAACATGAACATCCCTGCTAAAACAAGATTGTCTTTTCACAGGATCAAACAATTTATATGCACCTGTTGGATGATACCCTATAAGAATCATTGGTTCACTTTTGCTTTCGAGCTTCCTCCTCTTCTGATCAGGTACATGCTTGAAGCATAAAGACCCAAAAATCCTCAAATGGTTAACAGAGGGCTTCTTTCCTGTCCACACCTCAAGTGGTACTTGCTTCTTTAATCTCTTTGTAGGGCATGTGTTTAGAATATAACAAGTTGTGGAAACTGCTTCCCCCCAAAACTCTTGTGGCAAGTGCTTCTCCCTCAGCATGCTTCTTGTCATGTTAAGTAGAGTTCTATTTCTCCTCTCAACCAAGCCATTGTGCTGAGGAGTATAGGGTGCAGTCTTCTCATGTTGAATACCACTTTGTGAACAAAATTCCTCAAATTCATGTGAAGTATACTCTCCACCACCATCAGTCCTAAACACCTTCAGAAGTTTACCACTTTGTCTCTCAGCTTCTGCCTTGAATCTCTTGAACACACCAAGTGCTTCATTCTTGGCTTTAATGAGAAATAGCCATAACATTCTGCTGAATTCATCCACAAAAGTGATGAAGTATCTATTTCCACCATGTGAATTAACTTCAAAGGGTCCACAAATGTTAGAGTGAACAACCCCAAGAAGATCATTAGCTCTCATGGCTAACTCAGCAGTGAAACATTTCCTTGTCTGCTTCCCTGTAAAGCAGGTTTCACAAATCTTCTTTGGGATCGTTGTTGTCGGTAATCCCAAGACCATACCATCACTTCCCAGCTGGTGTAAACTTCTAAAATTCAAGTGACAAAATCTAGCATGCCACAACCAATTTGACTCCCTGCCCTGTAAGGATCTTGAGGCTTTCAAGCAATGAACCTCAGATGCTTTAATGTTAACCTTGAAGGTTCTATTTTCTGAAAGTGGAGCCTTCAAGATCAATCTTCCTTTAGCATCAAACAGATCGAAAAAGTTCTTCTCCATAATGACCTTGAACCCTTTCTGAATCAGCTGGCCAATACTCAACAGATTGCAAGTCATTCCAGACACATACAACACATCTTCTATTATTGCAGTTCTACCATCCTTTCTATGAATTGCAACACTTCCAATCCCTTCTATGTCAAGTGTTCTGTCATCAACAAACTTAACCGTGCTTCTTCTAGTTTCATCTAAGTCAATTAGCCATTCTCTATGACTAGTCATGTGATTAGAACAACCCGTATCTAAATACCACAAGTTTGATTTAAAATTTACAGAAACAGAAGAATCTTTAGAGCTGGTGGTTACCATGAGAAGCAGGGGTTCTTGATCTGAATCCTCATGAGCTGCATTGGCCTCATTGTCACCCCTTCTCTGTTCACTTCTACCATTTGGACATTCTCGTGCAAAATGACCAATCTTCCTGCAATTGTAGCATTCAGCTTTCTTCTTGTCCACCCTTTGATTCTTGCCAGAATTCCTCTCATGACCACCACGTTGCTGTGAAGAACCACTTTTGTGATCATCATCTCTCTAAGAAGACCAAGATTCCCCTTTGGCCTTGCCTTTGCTTTTCCATTTGCCTTTGCGTTTCTCATCATACGCCTTCTTCGATGTCTGAGCCTTCAACGCTTGATCTTGGTGATTCCTCTCAGCCACTCGATCTTGAAGACGTAATTCATGAGCCTCCAACGAACTTTGCAGTTCCTCAAGCTTCATCTCCTCCAAATCTTTGGATTCCTCGATCGCCAGTACTATGTAATCAAATTTCACCGGTAAAGATCGCAAGATTTTCTCAATCACCATCAAATCTGTGATCGTTTCACCACACCCTTTCATCTGATTGATCAGTGTGAGAATCTTGGTGAAATACGCTCCAATCGTGTCGTTCTCCTCCATGTGCAAGCTCTCATATTGCTTGCGTAAAGATTGCAAGCGAACCTTCTTCACCTTCTCCCCTCCGGCGTGACATCGTTGAATGATATCCCAAGCTTCCTTTGCACTGGTTGCCTTGGAGATCTTCTCAAAATGCGCATCATCCACGCATTGATGAAGAAGAAACATCGCCTTGCAGTCCTTCTTCTTCGCCTCCTTGTTCGCTGCTTTCTGTGCATCACTAGCTCCGGTTGCCAACGCTGGAATCCCAGATTCCACCACTTCTTGGATGTCCTGAAACCCAAACAGCACCTTCATTTGGATGCTTCATCGTTCCCAATTCTTCTCAGTAAGAACGGGCAATGTGGTGGGAAGGTTTCCATGGGCACTACTCATGGCTACGGATCACAATTGCACAGACTCACAGCTTCGTCACCTTCAATTTTTCCTCAGGCCCCTTCGAAACTCTTGCTCTGGATACCAGTTTGTTGGAACAGGGAGAGAAGAATAGAGAGATCAAAGATTAGGAAGAATGAGAGATTCTTTATTTTTCATTCTAGCTAGCTATTACAATCAGACTTGCTATTTAAAACAATGTAACAAACTAACAGAAACTAACTAATTGGTTATCTAACAAACTTAACCAATCAGTCCTTATTACAGTCATTGATCAATATAGTTGAATTATTCTTTCAACACATCGGATATATTTAAAAATTCCCTAAAATTATAGGCCCCCCTATATTTTGGGGCTTAAAAGTTAGCCCCGACTCCTAAATTGAGAGCTCTATGAACGATGATGTGAAAATGGCACACATAAGTACTAGCAGCCAAGATTGTCAATACTGAGCGTCTGGCTCAAACTATCTCTTGTAGGCTGGTTTGTGTTTTTACTGAAAAAATATTTGGATTTATTATTACTAGTCTTCTTACCTTTCAATGGATTCAAAGAATGACTCTAAAGCACGGGTACACTCTTTTAGGTAAAATATCAGTACCGGGTACATATTGGGACAAAGTGTTATAATCTTGTAACTAACATTGCAAAGTGCAATAGGTATCAACTGAGTAAGAACAAAGGGTTCATCATATTTAGGAATTAAGGTAAGCAACGATTGGTTGATAACAATGATCAGGCTTAGAGATGCTAAACAAGTTCTTTTCCCGTTGGTACAAGCGCTATGATACCATGATACCGTTTTGTTACAATCATTTTCGCGATTACAGTTGGTTTTTGAAAAAAATAACAGTATGATATTTGTATGGGTGGGCAGGCTTGATGGTTCTTTATTTGGGCATTACTTCTCCTACCCTATTGTCAGTTCTCCCACCCTATTGTCAATAGAACTCAAATGTATTTTCGAACCCCCCTCATTCCACACCCCATTCCACATCTCACATCTCATTCTTTCATAACAGAATCACACTCTTGTTTTGTCAAAAAAGATAATTTAGAAATTTATTCCACAATACTTCTGGAAGTATTATTCGAGGAAACATTTAACAAACATATACAAAGAAACAAAAAAAAGGTTTGTTGGTTCTGATGCTTTTGTAGGCTTGTTGGGAACATTTACTGTGCTAATAACAGGAAGGACAGAAAATCCAGAATTAAAACAGAAGGTGTACCAAGTTTTTCCTCCTGCTAGATTTTACTACAACATGAAAAAATCGTTTGTTGAATTTTTTTAAGGCTAAGGGTAGAGAGCAATTATTTATGTTTGAATGAATAAGGAGATATTTTGCTTCACTGAAATTCTTTGCCATGAAAATCACTTTATAGATTCATATGACATGGTGTGATAACACAAGTAGTACAAGGAATCCCTAGTACACAAGTGGTATGCAGGTACCAAAGTAAGGGTGGCTCATCCAAATGTTGTATATACTCCAATTGTAAGATAATAGAACTCATTTTAGATGAGGATTTCCATTTAAAATATGCACGGGAATAACAGAACACATAACAAAATAGAGTACAGAAAAAACATAAAACAACATAAAATCAATTTCAAATTAAGTCTCACATTCATAATTAACACCATTCAAAAGTCAAAACTCTTCAACACAAATTAAAAAAGAAATTTCTAACTTGTTTAACATCCATTAATAACATAACTTAATTCTTAGCTGCTTGCTTTTCTTTTGTCTTCTGTATCTTCAAAACTTTCTTCACAATTTTTTGCTCTTCAACAAGGAAAGCACGAATAATCCTGTACAAATATTTAAAAGCATTCGAGTTTACAACAAACAATCTAAATTATGAACATAAATGTCAAATTATGTTGTGCAAAATACCTTTCCCTAACAGCTCCTCCAGATAAAACACCACCATATGCTCTGTTAACTGTTCGGCGGTTGCGAGACAATCTGGACCTCTTGTATTCAGTAGGTCTCAAATGTGGAATCTGAATATAAACTTGGATGAGACAATAATCATAACAGAACACACAATGATAGTCATGATTCCTTTGTAGTTAATTAAGGATACTTGTACACAACATGAAACCTTTAAGTAGACAAATTCATCGATAGATAATAAAAAGTTACACAGAAGGCATTTGAAATCTTCGAGATTATATTTCAAACACAGTAAATTTCAGGCAATGTCCAAATAAAAAAATAAAAAAGATGGTAAAGCAAACAAAATATAGAAGTAGAACTGGAAAGGGAAGATTCTATAGTGTAAAATAGCATTAAATTCATCAGATGTTACTTAGCCAGTGCTGTCAGATTGCATTATAGAACGGGAATATCTTAGGGACAGTGGGATAGTCTATGATAGATAACGTAAAAAAAAAAGGACACAACAATCTGAAAACTTCATGTTTAGACATTCAAAAATAGGTTATGTCGGAATATATATATATATATATATATATATATATATATATATATATATATATATATATATATATATATATATAGAGAGAGAGAGAGAGAGATAATTACATTCATTAGATATTGCTTAAAAAGTGCTGTCAGATTTCATTACAAAATGGGAAAATCTTAGGGACAAAGGGAGAATTGGTGAATTCCTACAGACTGTGGCAAAAAAGGCAAAAAAAATGGTGAGTTCTTACAGACAGTGGGCAAATCTTAAAAAGTCATAAATCTAAAGGACGGGAGCAAATCAGGGACATTGGGCAAATCTTAGGGACATTGTGAAATTGTGTGTGCAAATCTTAGGGACAGGGAAAATTGGTGGGCAGATCTTAGAGACGGTGACAAATAATAGGGCTGGTGGCCAAATATTAAGGACGATGAGCAAAACTTAGGGACGTTGCTATAGGAGTTGTTCTTTAGAAAATAATAATAACGGTAAACAATTACTTTGGAAGTGTAATTTTTATTTAATAAAATAACTGCATCTTAGAAAGAGGAACATCAAGAACATAACAGTTTCAATAATAGTGCATCAAAATTTCGTTATTACAGAATTAAGGATTAATTGTCAAAAAAAATAGGAGGGTATACTTATTTCAATCATCATAATAACAGAATGTGATTAACCCTCCATTGTACAGCTTAAGTGAATTTGATTATTAAATTATTGACAAAAATCAGCAGCTGATTGGGTTATATCTCACTCCCACAGCATTCCTCAATAACCAAAAATAATTAATTTCAGAAAAGAACAGTATCCAATTAACATTAATCATAACACAACAATCCAAAATATTTCAATTATAAATCACATCTGATTTAGATGCATAGACTAATTCACCCAAATCATTACCTCAAATGCAAATCAACATTTTTAAACAAACACAGCTAAGAACCAAAGCAACAAATCACTGATCTAATGTTCTACATATCAATTCCATTAAGAAAAAAAATCAAAGAAACAAATCATATAAATTCATACCCCTTGGATCCTCTTTCCAGTAACCGGACACTTGGGTCCACTCGCCCTCTTCTTAGTCGTCTGATAAACCAACTTTCCACCTAACAGAACCCCGATTTCATACACCGTTCAAAATCAACAACAAAAATTACATGAATCGGAACCGAAAAAACACAAATTGAGCAGAGAAAATCATTACCAGGAGTCTTAACAACTCGATGCTGGTTGGATTTGGTGGCATAGCTATGCCTCCTTCGGTACGTGAGTCTCTGAACCATGGTGAACTTTGTTCTGTCTGAAACCCTAGAAAATGAAGAAAATGAGAGAGGCGTGAAAATGTCTGTGAGAGAGAGTATAAATCGTGTGGGTGGATATTCTCAAAACCCTAGATTTTGGTTACTCATTAATTGGGCTTTTTTTGTTCTTTCTATTAGAATAAGCCCAAACCAAAATCTGTTCTTTTTTTTTTTTTTCACTACCAATATCCAACCTATTAGAATGTCTAATATGGTTTTTATTCTCTTCCAATCGAAGTTGCATAACGTGATCCTCTCTATCAAATTTATTATTAATTATTATTAGACAAACTAATAATTGATAAAATTAATATTTTTTTCTAAAATAAAAGCGTGTTTTCGGTATAATGTTATATTTATGAGAGTTACATTAATTGATTAATAGTGTATGCATTTGGTAAAATAAATTACAGGACAAATTAGTTTTTATTTATTTTATGAAATAAGGTTCAATAATAAAGAATAATTAAGTTGTAAAATTGTTGTAATTATTTGCTTTTTAACATATGTGAGTCATAATTAAAATTTAATTTAGTTTTCTTTTTATTTGGTTTTAATTCTTTAGTTAGGTTTTTATATGAACTCATGGAATGGATCACTCAAATCATTGATTTAATCTTTGTTATTAGTTGTGAATTGTAACGTTGCAGTCTTTTTTGTTGTTTTGTGTATTGCTTCTTTATTGAATAAGGGGGGTATATTTGAAAAAATATTTTAATGTCAAAATAAATCAGCATGCTAGTAGATAGCAAGTAAGAAAATTAATTGTATAATTATATCTAGGAGAAGAGTCTCAAAATGGTTGGATTATGATATACTTCACGCAGTTATTATTTTCTTAAAAGTGGTATAAAAATGGTATATGGGATTATTGGTGAATAAGAATATGATACTTTGTCATAATTGGTTCTGATATAAATAATGGTACTTATCTAATTTGAACATACTACATGTAGCTTAGAATTATGTGATCATATCAATGCTTCTAGATACATAACTAATACATGTGTTAATTTACATGTATGACCTTATAGGAGATTGTTGCATTTTGACATCATGGTATGCACTAACTTAATTCCAATAGTTTGGCATACATAAGATATTTTGAGTTGGTTTGCAATTACTAAAAGACTCTTTGTTTAGACGCCTTAATTTTTCTACTTCCGGTGAAATATTGAGTTTCGATTATGATTCTCATAATTTGAAGAACGTTTACGAGTTTTTTTTAGAATTTTTTTGTTGTGTGTCTAGTTCAAATGTGTGTTGATTTTTATTGTTGTTTTCTCATATATGATGACCCCAAATATGAGTATAAATAAGTTGGCTTTATCAATTTACTCTTTTAAGGTATTTAGGTATAGGAAAGTGAATGATGTGACACTAGTTGGTAGTCTATATTATCGACATGTTTTATAATTTGGAAAAGACCGATAAAACATAAAGTAAGCTTCCAGGTTTTCAACATACAACCAACCTCTGTCACCAAAATGATCCTAAAAATATACATGATTCTCGTCTTGAAATTTCAAGTATTTAATTTTATTATTATGGTAGCTTTTCTACCTACTTAAAGATGCTCTCATATTTTTTTGAATCATCTTAACCTTCTATGCAGTACGCTAGACCACACTTAATTCTAACACAAGACTTTAATGATGATTGTAACTTGTAAGTGTCTTCAAGACATTAATGTTTTTTTTAAGTAATTACTAAGTTTTCCTTTTACACATAACTCTAATTAATATAATTTATAAAATTAAACAAGTGGCCCATTAGCTTAGTTGGTTAGAGCGTCGTGCTAATAACGCGAAGGTCGCAGGTTCGAGACCTGCATGGGCCATTAAAAATATTTTTTAAAATATTTTTTTCATAAATATGATATTTCGATGTTATTTAAGTTATTCAAATATGTAAGTAAGGTACCCACATTCATGTCCACTTATTTTAGTGAGTAATTACTTGTAGTTTATGCTCTACTCATTTTGTGAGTTGACTTAATTGTAACTTCACCCCTATTATCTTGGAATTTTGATTTTGGTCCCCTCATTTTTAAAACTGATTATTGTATTCCTTTTATTTTGTTTTTATTAAGGATTTTAGTCCCTTAACAAATTTTACACCATTTTTTATGACATGACGCTCATTTGGCTTACGTGTCATTGTCAAGCAAGCATAAAATTATTTCAATTCATTCATATTATTTTATATTTAGGTTAATTATATTTTAAATGTTTTCTAATATATTAATATATAATATAATCATTAAAAAAATGGTAACCCTAACCCATCCCTTTATTTCATCATCATAAATATTGTGTTTTTCTTTTGTAGAATCAGCATCTCTTCTATTGAGATATTAAATATAATCCAAGTTGTGTAACCTAAGCCCAAGCTCAATTAGGCTTTGTTAGCCTACTTAGTGTATAATTTAGGTGTATATAAATAGTCATAGCTTGTATCATTATTTGTAACAATTCAATAATACAATCCTTATTTCCTTACTCATTCTCTTTTTCCCCTCACTAAAAGTGTCTCACGCACTAATAAATTGGTATCAGAGCTTCGGTTCGATTCTTGATTGTTTTTTTAAGAATCACACGTTAGAGATCGTATTTCTGGGATTGTGGGTTATTGTCGTTGTGAAGATGAATGATATTAATGGAATTCTGAAATCTCTTCCAACTCTTGATGGCAAGAATTGGATTCGATGGAGAAAATAAATGCAATCTCTGTTTGGCTTTCATGAAACCCTATAAGTGGTTACTAATGGTGTTCATGCGCTGGCTGCGGATGCAACCGATGCACAGAAGACTGCTCACAACAGAACCAAGAAGAAGGACTACAAGGTTGCGAATTACATTCAAATGGCGGTCGATGTAGCTAATTTCGATAGGATCTCTCATGCTGAATCGACAAAGGAGGCATATGATATTCTTGTCAAGTACTATGAAGAAGGTGAGAAAGTCAAGGTTATCAAGTTACAGACCTTGCATTGACAATATGAATTATTATCGATGGGAGAAGAGGAAAAGATTGCAGAGTATGTGTCGAAGGTACAAAGACTCGTCCATCTCATGAAAGGTTATGGTGAACCCCTGACTGATAAGATGATAATTGAGAAGGTAATATGTACGTTGACCTCTCGCTTTCATCATGTTATCATAGTTATTCAAGAATCTAATCAACTTGAAACCCTAAAATTGGAAGATATGGTTGGTTCGTTGGAAGTGCAGGGGATTAGGATTATCAAAAGGAAGGGGGTTCAAGACTCAATACAAGCACTGCAGGCTCCGTCATGGAAAAAGAATGGTGGTTCCAATAAATTCAAAGGAAAAGTTAACAAGACTCATGGGGAATAGAATCTAGGAACTTCAGTTGTCCAAGGCTCTACTGAGGAGTTATCTCTGTACTAGAGAGATGAAAGCTTGTTGTTTTATGGTTGAAATCCAGGCTTCACAGTAACTTATTGGGGATAATGGAATTAACCGTTACCTGAAAATGTATTAGAAAGAGCATGTGTAGGGTTGTTCCAGGATGAGTCCGTGTTAGACTGCATTTGGAAAGTTGAGAAGGATTTCGTGTAAGATTGCTTCAGGATGAGTCTGTGTTAGACTGCAACTGGAGGTCATGAGAAGAAACCCGTGTAAGATTGCTTTGTCCAATCATGTAGATAACTTTCCTGTCTGGTTTCAAGCGTTATTCTATAATCAGTTGTTCATAGATAATTGTCATATCTGATTTTAGGTATTAATCTGGAACTTGCTTTTATCGGTCGTTTGAGATAGTTGTCTTGGCTTATTTCAGGTATTAATCTCTGACCTGAGAAAGAAAGATAGTTTTCCTAGATTGTTACAGGTATTAATCTTCAATCTCCTCATGTAGATAGTTTTACTGGCTTGTTACAGGTATTAATCTACAGTCGTTAGTCCATAGATAGTTTTCCTGGCTTGTTACAGGGATTAATCTAGAACTTGCTTTTGTTGGTCATTGAGATAGTTGTCCTGGCTTGTTACATGTATTAATCTCTGACTTGAGAAAGAAAGATAGTTTTTCTGGCTTGTTACAGGTATTAATCTTCAATCTCCTGATGTATATAGTTTTCCTGGCTTGTTACAGGTATTAATCTCTGACCTGAGAAAGAAAGATAGTTTTCCTGGCTTGTTACATGTATTAATCTCCAATCTGCTCATGTAGATAGTTTTCCTGGCTTGTTACAGGTATTATTAATCTACAATCGATCGTCCATAGATAGTTTTCCTGGCTTGTTACAAGTATTAATCTGGAACTTGAAAATTGTCGGTCGTTGAGATAGTTGTCCTGTCTGGTTTCAAGTATTAATCTCTGACCTCATAAAGAAAGATAGTTTTCCTGGCTTGTTACAGGTATTAATCTTTAATCTGCTCATGTAGATAGTTTTCCTGTCTGGTTTTAGGTATTAATCTACAATCAATCATCCACAAATAGTTTTCCTGGCTTGTTACAAATATTAATCTGGAACTTGGCAATGTTGGTCACATAGATAGTTCCTCGTCTGGTTTCGGGCATTAATCTTTGACTTGTTGTATTTGTTGGTAAGCATGTCTTGCTTCGGGAGTTCATACCACTTGGTTGTGTAGATAGTTTCCCTGTCTGGTTTTGGGCATTAATCTTTGACTTGCTGTATTTGTTGGTAAACATGTATTGCTTCGGGAGTTCATACCACTTGGTCGTGTAGATAGTTTCCCCGTCTGGTTTCGGGTATTAATCTTTGACCTGCTGTATTTATTGGTAAACCCATCTTGCTTCGGGAGTTCATACCACTTGGTCGTGTAGATAGTTTCCATGTCTGGTTTCGGGCATTAATCTTTGACCTACTGTATTTGTTGGTAAACATGTCTTACTTCGGGAGTTCATACCACTTGGTCGTGTAGATAGTTTCCCCATCTGGTTTCGGGTATTAATCTTTGACCTGTTGTGCATAAGTTGATAATATTCGTATGTCT